AGCACAAGGACATGGCCCAGCCTTCCCCCATTCCCAGACCCCCAATCTACCACCTTGTTTCCAGCCCCCTCTCCCAATCTTTCTTTCAGACTCTTGGGACCCCAGCCTGTGCTATGGGCTGTTGGCATCTGTATCCAGGCAGACACAAGCCTGCGAAGCACACTAGTATGTGTTCCAGGTCCCCCAGGGCTGGCTCCTTTGAATGTTGTAGGCTGGTTGCAGGTTAAGTCATTTGAAAAATCAACTGCTTAATTTGAACGTGTTTGTATGCAGCCACAGAAAAGGAGAGCTGGAAGGAACCTCAGGCTGTTTCCTAGTCCAACCCCCATCTCAAGGCAAGATCATAAATCATTGAAGCCACGTGTTTGTTTAACCTGCAAATGATTGGAAAAAGGCAAAGTTCACTGCTATTGGAAGTTCACTGCTCTGTTAGAACCACTGTGCCAGGTACCTGCTTTATCTGTCTTCCTTTATTTTGAACAGGAACAGATGCTGGGCTTGGTCAGACCACTCCCTGGCTGTTACCAACCACATGTAGAGGTTTTTCTAAGGCAGAAAAATAGTACTGAAGAGCAATGAGAAACACGTGTTTATGTTATAGGAATATGGTAACACAGTAGGCAATGAAACAGGTCATTTCATCCCTGTGCTTTAGCTGATGCACCTGTGGAATACTACACTTCTGCCTCAAAGGCATAAGCAATAGTATTCATGTATTTGCGAAAGAGTCCTGTATGGAAAAAGGCATAATGAAAAAGCCAGTAAAGCTTCAAAGTCTTTATAGATCTCTACCAAATGTCTCAGGTTCTCCTTGTTTGAGACATCAAGTAAATGGATTAATTAGAGTGCAGTAAGAGCCTTAACACATGTACAGACATTCTCCTAGGAGAGTTGCTGTTCTTCCAGCAGCCACAAGTGTGCAGATGTTCAGGACTTTTCCAGAGCAAAAATAGCTACTTGGGGCAAAAAATTATTTGGGATCAACCAGGATTATATCAGTCCTGGGAGTTTATCCTGGGCAAGCAAATGTCTGTACCACTTATCTTTTAAGAGAAGCCACAGCAATTCTCCAACATCCAAGATTGCTTTGCTCTCATGCTGGTCCTTTCTTCTCCACCCCAAGAGATAAAGTGTCACTTGGGCTTGGACTCTTGCTCCAGCCCCATAGGAAGCTGAACACACCCCATCACCATCCCACATTTTGCTACAGGGAGACAGTACAAGTCAGGTGACTGATGCTCCCAGCCACAGGAGTGCACTGGAGTCTTGCTGGTCTCCACTGTGCTCCAGGGCTGGGAACACTGATCAGCTGACTAGCGCTCTAAACCATGGGTCCACTACACAACTGGTTTGCTACCTGGTGGTGCAGGGGTAGTTTGGCGCATCCTACACTGGCAATAGGGAACAACTGGGATCTGATCCCTGATCCCACCGTCATACCCCTTCCCACATACATGTGGCATGGGAGATGCAATTGTTGGGACTGATGATCAGATTGACCTCACCCTTAACTGAATGCTTGCCAGTGGCGTTAGGTTCAACTTAGCTTCTCTTCTTTTAAACCTGCTTTAAAACAGAGGTGGAAGCCCCACAAAAATAGCAAGAGACTAGCCAGATGTAATTGCTTTTATTTAAAAACATACTAAAAGTCTGTTTATAAATGCAGTTGTTCAACATTACATCTTATTTTTCCCCAGATGCAGATGATGTACACATCAAGGGACCTGATCTTGTTGAAAGTAGTACTAAACACATCCACTTCTTGGACTGCAACCCATGAAACCTACCTCAATACTTTGTATTTGGCACAGCTGAAGTCAGATAAATTGAGATAAATTGTAGGATACTGTAAGAGGCAGCCAGGGTTCCCATTACTCCTAGGGAAACAGCAGTAGGGAAATCCCGATTGGAGAAGCAGCACTGCCCATTATGGGCTGGCTGCAAGGGCATAGGTAGCCAGGGGCTCATAGCTTACAACTGCTTATCACAGCTATCTGCACAGCAATCAGCTGACAGGGCAGAGCCACACTTAAACAGCAAGAGACCTTCAACAGAAACTAGTATAACAGCAGTAAGCGGTTCATTAGACTTAGGTAAGAGCAGATGTGCCAGTCTTCACATGACTGAAGAGGCCCCACCCTCCATGCAGCTTAAAAACTCAGATCTGGAGAGCAGAACTAAGTCTGGTATGCTACAGGAAAGAGCTCTGAGCAGGGAATTGCTGCTTGGGAGACACTAGCAGGGAGGTGAGACCCCTGCTGGAGGATGGCTGGCTGAAGGCATGTTTCTTTCTTCCCCCCAAGGGGGAGAGGTTTCCTTTAAAGGTGCCCTTTTCTTTCCTTAAGTTAATTTGCCCAGAGGGGGAAGGTTGTATGTCAAGTGGTTGCTCATTTAGATTGGTGGGACTAACAGAGAAGAGGTCACAGTGGTACCCAATGGGGCATGCGGGTGCTTTGGAGCCCTGCCAGAAACTGGGATGAAGATGTTGACAGGTGGTCAGGCCATAGCCCAAGGTGGACCAGAGCCAGGGGCCCAAAAAGCAAGAGGGTGAAAACTAGGGCCAGGGGCCTGAAGCCCAAGGGGAAAGAAACCAAAACTATTACACTAGGGCTAACACCCATAAACTGAAATCTGGTGAGGTGGCCTTAAGATAAAAGTGCCAGCTAGGGCAGTGGGATGGAAGCCAGGAAGGCCAGGGCCACAATAAAGGTGTAGAGGCTTGAGGTGGCCTGACACTGGCTTGTGGTCAAAGTGCCTCAGTAAGTGATGACTGGTAACATCTGAGAGGCATAGGCATGGCTGTAGGAGAAGTCAGAAGCCACAAAATTAGCACTTATGGCAATCAGTGTGCTAGAGCATGGACTGGCTAGGTGGACCCTACCTAGTGCCTCAGAGCAGGATGGGGGCTGACAGGGTTTGGGAGGAACCCAGTCTGGTGGTAGACAAAGGCTTGCTCTGGAAACCTGGGGGGTAGCCTCCCTCTCTCCCAGTAAAACACTACCAGCAAGACATGGCAAGTGAGAGAGCACGAAGGGAGGACACCCAGAGAGCTGGAGCAGGGCAGGAGTCGCAAGGCCACAAGGAAGTGTTACGGCCACCCCTGGGGCTCAGTCCTGCTACAGATACCTTTTTAAAGACAGAATTGTAACCCTTGTCATTTAACTGGAATATAGTCATGGCTGGCTGTACATGCGTGTGCATTTAAAAAAATGCAGAATGCAGTGTTCCACTTACCCTTTAAAAATTCACTGGTTTGTGCCAACACACAGTACCAAAATTAACTAAAGATGCAAAATAAATAACTCTAGTAAATTAATTAAAAACAGGCAAGATTTTAAAAAAATAGACTGACACACCCACAATGAGATATGCCCAATGCATATAAACCACTCTGTACAAGTCTCAGGCTAAGTATATTCAAGGATGACTTGTTTATATCCAGATTCACACAGAAAGGGAAGTCATTTCCTTTTTACAAGTTCCATCACTTGGAAACATATTTTAACAGTCGGTGCTTTGTGTATTCACAAGGAGTTTCATATGTTGCTATTCCTATGAAGCCTTCTCCTTGCTTCCCAAACTTGAAAAAAAGTTTAATTAGTTATGGTTTGGTTTTAATTTTATGCAAAAAGTGCATTGAAGGAAAACAAAACCTAAGTCTCTTACCCACTGCAGTTCTAATGAACTTTATGAATACTATCAACTGGCCACATGCCAAGGCTCCACTTCTTATAAAGGCTATAGTTAGTACATGGTCCCATACCCTGCAAATACACTCACATATGTAAAACCTGACCTAAAATAGATAGCTGCCTATTACTCTCACAAAAGAATTGTACTATATATTGGCATTTATCCACTGTTGTACAGAAAGGCCACCACCTTAAAAGTTAGAAAGTTTCAGGCATGCTTCACTTAATCTCCCAACAGTCTCTGCAGTTGTACAACCAGGTTTCATGAAATTCTCTCATCTTGTTACTTTGAGACTCATACTAACACAAACTATGAGGTTCCAGTCAAGTAGAGGAATTGTACTTTTTTTTTTTTTTTTTTAAAACATAAACTGAGTATGCAAGCTTTTTGTTTTTTCTTAATTTAAACCAGAAAACTACTAGCATTAGCCTTTAGAATCCTTTGGAACTTAAAAACCGAGGGGACTGGAGCATGGTAGAATTGCACTTATTCCAACAAAACTCTGTATTTTTTAAAGTTAAGTGCAAGCTTTTTAGTGAAGAGATAAGTCTCTAGGATGGAAAACAGGACAGCAAAACATTCAACATTACAGGCTCACTCTGAAAAAGAACAGTTTCAGATTTAACTAGAGCTTCCTTAGCTATTTATGATTCAGATGAAGCAGTGATACCGTGTTGTTTTTTGACTATAAATAAAAAATTCTTTTATACATATAAAAAGAAAATTCACTTGGCTTTTCAACATTACAATTTACCTCTCTAAAGCAAATACGGGAAGATAAGTCTCTTCTAAAAGCAGAGACCTCAAGAATCAAGTTAACTGTAAATACATTTCTACTCTTCGCACTGGAGGACTGCTGCCATTGTGTGTTCTCCAAGGTAGAAAAGAAGCTAAACTATAACAAGATTTCTTGGAAAAAAACACATAGCAGCAGCAGTCTTCCAATGCCTAAAGAAGGGTGTTTGTGCCCAAAAGCTTGCAAATAACATTTTTCCAACTATTGAGTTGGTCCAAAAATAGACATTACATCTACCCAAAGAACCTTGTCTGCCTATGTCCTTAGACAAACCGTTACAACCAACTACACTTTGCATCCACACTCGGTCAGCAGAAATGAATCCCACAGGGCAGATGCATGCACACCCCAAATTCTGAGTTACATGTTTTGGCTTCTCTTTACAGATCAGAGCTACCGCTCCACGTTCAAGTCATAGTAAGGCCCAGCATTCAAGAACCTACAAAGGAAGGCACCAGTATGCTAACTGGCATGTACAATCTGAGTTGAATTAACTTTATTTACTAAATCTATGGGGACTGAACTCAAGCCAGAAGGTTTCTGACAGTCCTCCATTCCTACTGTTAGAATGTTAAGGAAAAAACCAAAAGGCTTTATTCATCCTAGCCAAACACCTGCTTGATCGTACAATGCATGTAAGTGTATGCGATTTGAAAATAAGGGAAGTTGTGTGGGACTTATTTTGCTGTCTTTTTATGTAAAACAGTTAAAGGTTTTTGTCTGGTGAGCAATTCCTTAGTTCTAGGAGGAATGGAAAGTATGAAAGTGGATCCTATTACTACTTTTTCCAAAAGACAGATGCATTAGGGGCAATACAAAAGTCCCTTTAAGTTACAAAGCTAGATTGTGGCAATTGCTTAGATTTAGAAAATGCCCAGTACATGAGCAATGACATATATGACAAGGCCCAAAATTAGTCTGGGTTGCAAACAAACTGTCTAAGAGGGAACAAATCCTCAGTCTCCACAGTGCCACTGCTCTGTTATAAATAATAGCACAAGACTTACTTGACAGTATTCAAGCTGCAGAATGACACATAGGAAGGTGCTTAAAGTGCTCAGTTAACTAAGTAATAAATAAATTTAAAAGCTGAACATTACCAAAGCTATCTGCATTAACACTGTTACAACTTCATTTCACAGTAAATACAAACACCTGGGAATGTCCAGAGCATGATGCCAACATCATCTCTAGCCTGGGTTTCAATAGCTGAATTCCATTTTTAAGTAATCAAGTATTCAGGGTCTGCTAATAAAATTTAGCAAAAGAGGAAAAAAAAAGTGCATTTCCGGTGGTGGTGGTGGTGGTATGTCTACATCCAATCAGAGGATGACTTCATGTTCAGTAATTTAAAGTTGCTAATACCTTCAAAAAGAGAGCTATAGCCAGAACATTCAAAACAGTCCATTAATGCTTTTAACTGGGAAAAAAAAAATCAAGATGGATCTAACATGGCTAAGACTGGACTTCGTTGTTTGTTGGGTAAGCATGCACTTATGAATGAAGTGTTGTGGAGGAGTGAAGGATGGAATGTGATGATAGCAATGAAGTTCAGTTGAAGTTAGTTTTTTGTAAATGCTTATTAGGAATTTCTATAGCACTGACTTGGAGAGGCCAGGACCCTCCAACAATTCCTGCTTGGATAGCTACACCTATTACAACTGCCAAGTCAGGGTCCACAGAAGTGTTGGGCTCCTTTCCAAAAAAGTCTCGAATAACTTTGCGTATCCGGGGAATTCTAGTGGAGCCCCCTACTAATACAATTTCATCCACTTCTGTTTTGTGAAGATGTCCTTCCTTCAACACCTGCTCGATAGGCAGAAGAATCTTCTCAAAAAGGTCCTCATTCAGTGTCTCAAAGAGCTTCCTTGATATTTCTGTTTCAAAGAAAACTTTGACAGTGTTGCTGTGTGTTTGTGAAAAGTCATCGTTTAAAGATTTTTTCATACCGTCTTCCTCTTTTGAAGGCTTGTTTTCAAATACATTGCTCATTTCTCGCTCTCTCTCTACAAGTTCTTCTAGGTCCTTTCTTTCTGGCATGGAAAGATGCACACTAAGTAAAGCAGAATTGTGAAGAGTCAAATTTAACTTAACTGCTTCCACAGCTTGTCTGAGTCTATGTATTTCTTCCTTCTTGGAAGGCAGAGAACCATACATTCCATATATCTGTTCATATAAATACTGAAGTATCCGGTGATTAAAATCTTGACCTCCAAGCTTGTTGTTCCCTATGTTATGAAAAAACAGTATATCTATTAGAAAAGTCAAAACAAAGAATTAGGGGAGGGGGAGGAGGGGTGCAACATGGGACAATTAGTATTTAACAAGAGAACTCATGGAAAAAGGAAAAAAACACTACATTAGACCAATTCATTGTATGCTCTACCAACAGTAAATGCTATAGTCAGGAACTAGGGATATGACTGGTCAAACATTTTCATATAACTAATAACCAATAATGCCTTACTGGTTTTTGTTTAGCACAGGGTGGGGAGCAGTCCGTTGGGGGAAGGCAGGGGGAGAGAAGGAGCGCAATGCCCCTGAAGGCTGTGGCAGGAGGGAAGGAGTGGACTAGTACCTGATGCAGTGGGGAAGCAGAATGGGACGCATGAGGGGCCTGATCCTTCTTGTAATAGTGCAGCCCTGGCCCCTTCCCACTGTCTGCCCCAAAACATGCAAATACGCTGGCAATTAGCTGACCAGATCTCCGCAGGCCCTGGTGCAGCCACTTGGAGCTCTAGCTCCTGGGCAGCAGTGTGCCAGTGGCAACAGCAGGCAGGGGGCTTTTGCAGCCCACTGATGCCATGTGGAGAACGAGTACAAGCAGGGGCAGATTTCCTGTAGAGGCATGTTACTGGTCAACCATTTACCCAATAAAATTAGGGAAGGTTAAAGGGATAATCAACCAGTATTTACACCCCTATTATTAATCTATGGCTGTGCAGGCCAGATCTGATCTGCACAGCCACATTATCCAGTCTGTAGAGATGGGAGATGTTAGAGCATTTCAGCTATGGAAGGTTTTGGTAGCAGCAGCTCTACAGGAGGGAGTGATGACTGTAGCTGTAGCAGCACAGGCTATGTTGAAAGTAGCCTATGCTCAGAGCTAAACTCCATTGAAGCAGACCCCCACTGCAAAAGCATTACCAACTCCCTGAGTAACAGGCTATGTAGGAGACTCATCCCCAATTCTTTTCTATGGCCCTAACTTGACCATAACCATAGTTTCAACAGTTTTCAAAGGGTACTCTGTGCTCTTCCTATATGTTTATACAGTGTCTTAGTATTTCCTCTAGAATGGACAATGCCATTATAGTTTTCCATCTTTTGTTTGAACTAAAAAGAGGAGTTAATATATTAGACAACATGTGGCTAAATGAATCATGCTGAAATGCCTGGTTATATTTTTCACTGTTCTGCCTTCACTGGCCAGGGCAGCAGGTCACATCAAAGCTCATTCAGTCAAGCAACATCAGCAGTAGTATTCAAACTCAGATCTGAACATAGGTCACCTGCAAAGCAGTTATATGTTTACTACATAGTTTTACTAAGCGTTTCTGCCAGAAGTCTTTGCCAAGTGATGAATCAATTTGGCACATTTGTGCTACAGAACCTTTCTGGGGTAACAGCGTGTGAGCTCTCCAAACTCTGAACATCTGAGCTGAAGCCAAGCACAAAGGGGACTGTTCTAAGTACCCTTCAATGATTTGACAAATCCCCTCAGATTGAACCGATTGAGGCAGCTGAATGCTTTGAAACACCACTAGCTTGAGGCAAAGTAATTCTGGCATGCATGAATGCTCATATTACCTGTGCAAGTCAGAGAGAACTAGACTACAGATTGTTTCTTTAGTCAGCCAACGCATGAAAGAATTTCTCTTAAATAAAATCAGTTACAAACCCCTTCTGGCATCAAGGATAATAGCAAAAATCCCTTGGGACAAGTAGCTCATTCAAAAATTTTAAGATATTCTCAAAAAATTCATTATGTCAGATGGTGGGTGGGTGGGTGTGTGTCCGTCCGTTACCACAAAATTTACATAGAAGTAACGTTTTTTTATTTTACTTTAAAAGCAATTTATTCAGTTTAGCCGTAGGATCACTTATTCTTACCTGCCATGGCTCGCGTCAGAAACATCCCTCCTTGTTTGTTCAACAAAGAGACGTCCAAAGTTCCTCCACCCAAATCAACTACCAAGACATTAAATACATCAGCTTTGTGGAGACCATACGCCATAGCTGCAGCAGTGGGTTCATTAATGACCCTCAAGATCTCTAACCCTACAAAAACAAGAGTTATTAATATTGTCTTTAAAAATCAAACATATAGGCAAAACTGTAGTTGTTAGATCAGATTAACAGATGCCATTAGGTAACATCAATAAGTTTGGTTCAAAGAAGAAAAATCCCTTCCTACGCTTTTCCTTTATCTACTTTCACCTTCTTTGTTTATTTTGGAATGTTACTCAGTTTATGCTTAGCAATAACGTAAGAATAACATATTAATTCATGCTCAGCAATAAGACCTGAATGATATAGACCTGAAGAAGAATGCACTGCATTCAAAGCTTGTTTAAGCATCTCAAATCATGAAGTTGGTCCAATAAGAGAGATCACCCACAAAAATGCTTGCCTCTTCCATACTTCCTAGATAACCATGGCTACAACACCACCCTAACTCTATCAAATAATTTGATGCGTTTCTTGCCCAAGAGAGCTTCTGGGGAGTCTATATAAACATTGTTTATTTAAGTTTTAAATTATTCCCATAATTCTCCCTGCAAGTTGAAAAAAGTAAATAAATAAATAAAGCAGCTATTTCCTTTAATGAAGCTTAGAGCTTCCTGCTATCTGTATTTGCATAACCAGCTGCACATCATTTCAGAGACTACTCTGCTATTTTTCATGCCTGCTACTGCTCGGTGAAATGGATTCTAATATTTTCTCCTATTTTTGACAGACAGCAAGATAATCTTTGGAATTTAAGGAAAATATCAGAAAGAGGCATCACCTGCAAGGTTAGCTGCTTTAATAGTGTAGTTGCGTTGCCTTTCATCAAACTCTGCTGGCACTGAGATAACTGCCTTGGAAACTGGCATGCCAAGATTCTCTTCTGCCATCTTCTTCAATTTCAGGAGCAACTGAGCCCCTATATGCTCTGGGGTGACACTAAAGGTTTCATTGGTTGTAATAAAAAATTCAACTGTCCCATTGTTGCTGAAAATCTGGAAGAGGAAAAAAAGCCACACAACCCACAAGTGAGAAGTGGAAAAAACACAACACCAAAAATAGTTCTTTTCTTATTAGAGAAACCAATACTCAGAAGTTGTTCTTTCATGCAGAGATCACCAGCTCAGTTCATGATGTCACATGACACTCAAATTGCTAGACAAAAAACATTTGGCCTGAACCAGTTTTCTTTACCTGCCATTGGAGATAAGTGAAGCTGAACCCAGGGATGTAGAAGATCTGACCCATGGAGCCCCATCATCCAGCCCCCACCTCCCCGATACTTCCCCACATGCTCACACAAACGGTCCAAGTATTGCACTGCACGCAAACACCCCCCCCCCCAATCATTCTGGGGCAGGTGCCACTCGCAGTGCATGCAGCACCACGCAGGAGCTGTGTACACTGGAACCGGCATGGGGAAGAAGGGTGGTGGTTGAGGGTGGCCCCACACCACTCATCTGACCCTGCACACCAGCCCCACAACATCCATCCAGCCCACAGGAACAGATGAGTTTGACACCCCCCGACTTAAGCCATTAGGCATGTCTACAAATTTACCACACAGGGCAGCAGCGCACCTGGACATGCCATACTGCTCTGCACACACTCCTTCTGGAACCCAAAGTTTAGCCACATTGCCTGCACAGCGCCACACAAGTAGGCACCAACTCTCAGCAATGTTATTTAAGCTGCCTGCAATGTTGTATGAACATACTTCTGGTTCAGGAACAGGATGGACCCCTACAGACTCCCTGGTTCAGAGGCATGAGCTTTCTTTCATAGGCAACATACTTCATCAGATGCTAATATGACTAACTACCTGGGGTTCAGGAAATAGCTACATGGAGCAGCATACCACTGTCTGTGCAGTAAGTTTGCAATGTTGACAAATTCTCAAAGTACTGTTCCCTAGTCCAATCAAAGACATCCATGTGTCAAAATCAGCAGTTATGTCACACTATCAGAAACAGTGCCATATCCAAAGAAGGAAAGTAATTTTTTGGTAGCAGACCCTACCATCCTCACCCACAACAATAAAAGCATTTTGTATCCTTCTGTATTTACGTATTTGTAAATACATCTCATCTCACCAGCTGCTGAATACTAATATGCCTGTAAAAAACACTGTACAGAGGTTGCCTGCTCTTACTGTTTTCAGGGTCTCAAGAAAATAGTTTCTGATGCCTGAAATGGCATCCTTTACAAGTACTATGTTATAAGAGTTTTGCAGTTTCAAGGAAAAAAAAAAAAAAAAAAAAAAACAGCTTGTGGATTTGCTACGAGTTCAAATCCTTTTCTGCTGTTAGTAAACAACCTTTAAATGCATAAATGGGAAACTGTAAGGCTTAAAGATTAACTCCGTAATCAAAGGACACTAAATACACTGAGTACTATATAATATTTTCATTTTAGGAGTTTAGTGATTTTATCTAGAGGTGCACCAATAGATCAGTCGCATATCAGACTGGCATCGATAACAGGAAACTTAGTATTATTGGCCATCAACTTTTTTTGGCCAATGTCACCAAAAAATGTTGCATGCATGGACGCAGGCGCAGCATGCATGCAGCCAGTAATGCAGCCCAGCAGCTTGGACAGCAGAGTCTGGCTCGGGGGGGGGGTTGTGGTGGTGTAAGGGCACAGGAGTGGATAGGGGCATGGAGGGGCTGATTGTGGCCCCAGACAGAGAGGGAGAGAGTGGGGCAGGGGCAGGCAATGCCCAGTCTTGGTGGCGAATGCGACCCTGGGAGTAGGACCAGCCCACAGACAGTTTGACCAGGGGGTAAGGAGGTGGTGGTGGGGCAGCTCCCTGCTGCTGCACGCACCCCCAAAGGAGGCATGGGGGGCAAGGGGCCCCCAGATTTGTCTTCAGGGTGAGGGCAGGCTGCCCACTGCAGGCTTGGGGCCAAGGGCTATGCAAGCCTCTTCCCAGCAGGGGTGGGGGCTGGGCCAGAGGTGTGCACGAGGCAGGAGGGGCTGTGCTGGGAGGGGGACTGCAGGGTGGGCTATAGCCACCCCAAAATTCCC